GATTCAGGCCATGGTCTTTTGATCACTTCCTAATTGATGAGATGGATTGACACAGTGACTGCAACAATGAGGTCAAGTGTGTCAGAGATGATGAGGATGGCACAGGATGGAACAGAGTTCAAGTCTATTGTTCACAGGATTGTTATGAGTCTTACTCAACTCAATGGCACCTAACAACAACTTAAATATCGTATTGTAATGTCCATACTTCTTAAAAACAATGATATAAAGTTAGAACATTTTATTTTCTAAGATACAGTAATGAGAAGGAAGAAACAAACATGTTTGTCATACACACACACACACACGGATACAGACATGTTGATAACAAAATAAGGAAGATAACTTGAAGACACAGTAAAAAGGTGGCACAGTCATTAAAGTGGTTGGTCATTAACTAAAAGATTAAGATTAAGCATTCTATTCACAAATCACTCTATAAAGATGGATTAAAGATTTGGCAGATAGCTTCCATAATTATTTACAACTTTGAACTCCCTATGAGGAAGTTCTACTCTATGCTATAGAATCAGTATAAATCAGAATTTACTTAGTATCAGTGTCATTTATACAACATAGAATATACTGAAAAGTTAAGGAAAAAACCAAATACAACTGTAACAAAATAGCTAATATTCATGCCACTGGCATCATGAAACACAAAAAGGAAAAGGATGGTTGAATAAAAGTAATATAAAATACAGAAATACAAACTGAAACTTCAAATGTGACAAAAGATATAAACCTACAGATTCCACCATCTGAGTAAACGACAAATGGGATAAATTGATGGCAAAATATCATCATTAATCTCTGCAAAATGAAAATCAAACATTAAAGCAAACAAAATTCTAAAAACATCAAGACAGAAATGAAGTGTTATCTGTGGGAGAACACAAAAACAAATGTAAGAAAACTTTTAATCAGAAACCATCAGAGTAAAAAAGAAGGAGCACAAACTTTCTATGTACTGAAACAAAAGTAACAAACACCATTAGAAATCTTTTTTAACGTGAAGAATACATAAAAATATTCTCTGATGAAAGGCAACAAAAATAATATATTGCTAGCATATCAATTTTAAAAGAATGGCTAACATTTTATAAACAAAAATAAAATACAGAGGAATGAATCTGACAATACCTGAAAAGTGAATAAACACAATGGGGGAAGATATTATTGTCGTTGTGTATCGTTGAGTTGGAACTAATGCATGGCTGATCTCCCAGCAGGTTGAGGCAGTACATCACACAGAAAATTGCCGATGTCCCTCATGAAAGAGTTAGTGGATTCAAACCTCCTGCCTTTGTGATGGTAACTCTGTTCATAACCACTGTTTAATAGACATTTATTCACTCAAGTTATATAAAAAATGTCTTTGACAGTTAAAACACATATACAATGCTTTAAATATAATTCACCAGGTAGATAGAAGAAATGTTTAAGATAATCATATAAACTTGAAAGGATAAAAGAAAAAAATGGAGAGAAAAATTAATAAAGAAAGAGAAAGGCATTGAAAAATATGGACAGTGAATAAAGAGTTGTTTGTAGGTGCTGGAAAGTTGAGTAAGGCTCATAGCAAGCCTATGAACAGAGGACCTTAATTCTGTCCTACCTTGTGCCATCTTCACACTTCCTGACAAACTAGAGCCAATTGTGGCAGACACCGTGGCAATCCACATGGTTGAGGGGCTTTCTTCCTTCCTCAAACCTCCACCCTTCCAAGCATCATAGTCCCTCTCCTAGCAACATGCCTGAAGTACGTGAGGCAAAGCCTCATTATCCCTGCCTCCAAAGAACACTCCAGACGCACCCTTTCCAACACATACTTATTTGTTGTTTAGGCAGTCAGTGGAATGTTCAGTGCTCTTCTCTAACACCACAACTCAAAGGCATCAATTCTTCTGTCTTGCATATTCATTTTCCAGTTCTCAGATTCATGGCAAGTGATTTGAAAGACCATGGCCTGAATCAGATGCATCTTAGTACTCAAACTTATATGATTACTTTCAATAATTTGGAGAAGTCCCTGACTACAAACATTGCCAATGCAATATGTCTCCTAATTTTCTGACTTCTGGCACCAAGTGTGTTAGTTGTGAATTCAAGTAAGATGAAGTTGTTGACAGTTTCAATATCTTCTCCATCCACCATGATGATGACTGTCAGCTCCATAGTCAACACTCTTGG